TATATGTGATTCTCAAACATGATTAATAGGGCTGGAGGTGTAGTTTGGTAGTACAGCACCAGCCTACTATCGCATGAGGCACTGGGTTGGATCCTCAGTATCACATTAGACAAAATTCACATTTCGAATATGGGTTACAATACAAAGTTTACTTGTATAGAAGAGAGTGGATGAGATCTATCCTCTGATATTACTTTTGTTCATTTGTATTCGATGCTTTCAGAAGCTAAACATTATTACTATAGGAATAAAACTTTGCAAGCTATGAGTTGCTTTCTTGAAGGGAAATTGCAGAGGTAAATACACAATTAGTTGAAATATGCAATTAGTTGAAACCACTGAGAACTGCAGATCAGGATATAATAACAGGCAAGTTGGGCAGTTTCTCATTTAGACGTAGAGGATGAAAATGAAATGGAATTACAAAAACAAAACATGCAATTTTATAGCTTAATAATTTAAAAATACTTTTTCACTTTTCATGACCCTTAGTCCCCCCATGATTTACTATTTTACTGTAGTTCAAGTAGGTAGGGCTCTTGAGTTTTGTTTCCCAAGCTATAGTGATATTTATCTTACCATTAAAATGATTCAAAAAAGATGAATAAAACCTGCCAAAATGTATTAAGGGACATATTTTAAAAATCACTGAGGGGCTAGGGATATAGCTCAGTGGCACAAGTGCCTGCCTGGCAAGCACAAAGTCCTGAGCTCAATTACCCCACCCCCCCAAAAAAAGTCATTGAGATAATCTCTGCAAGGTACTCCTTTTTGATATACGTGACTCTGTAAAAATATTGTCACTCCTGTTTCCAGGTTCTTACCATGTATTTTTGTCCTTGTTTTAAAGAATAATTTCTTGGATTATTATGTTGCCTACCTGAGGGATTTGCCTGAATGCATCTCTTTGGTTCATGTAGTTGTTCTGAAGGAGGTAAGCTGACTCTGTGTGTGCTGTCCTCTGTCCACACGTCATCTATATATGTTGCTCACGCATCCTGTCAGTACTGCACACGCACCCTGAGCTTGATCTCCAGGCTGAAGAATGACTTGAACAGAGACACTGGCTTTCTTTCTTGGGGTTGAGAGCCCACCCAAGGATCAGTGTTGTTGCTTTGGGCCATGCCTGGCCTGACTTTGTTCCACTCCACTGGAACTGTAGGCAAAGTAAATTAGTGTTCTAAGCACAGCTCCTTAGCCTGCAACTTGTATGCACTATATGTGGGATTATTTTTTAGGCTCAGAAAATATGAATCTCGATATTAATTTCCAATCATCCTTGGCTAATTTATATAGTTATAAAGTGGCTCCAGTTATACTGTTTTAAGCATTTCCTTGCCACTGCAGTGATACACTATGTGCTTAATAAGCTGGTGATACATATATAACCATTCTAAGTTTTTTTGGTTTTGGGGAGTTTTTTGGTGGCAATGGGGATTGAACTCAAGGCCTCACACATGCTAAGCTCTAACACTGAGCCGCATCCCCAGCTAGTTATTTTAGGTCAATATGAGAAACCAGTAGCAGAAGCCACAAATCTGAGAGCTAATCAAGTAACCCAGGAGATAAGTGGCTCTGTTTTACTAAATTTCTATTTCAACCTCCCCGTACTCCCAGCCCAGTATGATGCCTACCACAAGCTGGCATTCTGCAAATGTCTAGAAGAGGGGAAGGAAGAGAAGGAAAGGGAAAACACAGAGAGAAAAGTCCAATGTGCTCTCTACCTCCAGGTCGGATTAGTTTGCAGTCACATTCCCTTCCTCACTCTCATGAGACTCCAACACATCCGTTAGCCTGTTAGTAAACCAATGTAATAATCGCTTCCTAGACAATCTTTATAAATTTATTCAACTCAAATATAATTTATGGAGTGCTCAGTTCTACGTAGCACTGTGCTGAGACAAGAGTGGGGAAGGAAAGGATGTTTTGGAAATTTGGGTGGACTCAAAAGAAGTATGTGCTATGTTCCCTGCTGGAGAAGTATTGTTTCCTCAGGCATATCTCTGAACATGAAACCTCTCCAAAGAGAGATCAGCGCTTCATGCCTAGCTCTGGAAAGAAAATGCTTTGGGAATAAACTTTTCCTACCCTGGTGGGACTGACGCAGGGATTCTGCTGCCGGAGTGGGACGGGCACAGAATGACTCCACATTTCTTTCATTCAGGGTGATGAAGAGATTAAATCTGATATCTACACATTGTTTTTTCACATAGTCCAACGCATCCCTGAATATCTGATACATCTACAGGTAGGCACGGCTGGGCAAGCCACCAAACTGACTCTTCTGCTAAACTATTATTTTTTGCTTTTAATTCAGAAGTATAGTAAAGGCTTCAAGGAACTATTGATATTTCTAAGAAGTGCTTCTGATTATCCCATTCCCAATTATGGGTATACCTGAAGGATGAGCTAAAGATCTCCATATGCAAAACTTTTTACTCATAACATGTGTCTTACACCTCTGATGGTCCAGGATGCTCCTATAAGCACTCCCACTAGTTTCCGAGCACCTTGTTCAGTCCCTTTCACTTGGATTCTACAGCCATCTGCCACCTTCCCATGTTTAAATGTCTATCTAACCTGCCCACTTAACTGCTAATTACTTTTACTTGTCTGGAGTCCCAGTGTCTACCCTGCAGGGCTTATACTGTCACAGTAGACACATGAAGAAGCCGAGGGGATGATTTCCCACCATTCTCCCACAGAGCTTGTAGCAGCTTGAAGGCAGTAGACCTGAGAGACTCGCCCACCTCTGACTAGCCCCTTTTCTTCACACTGTTCTGGTTTAATTGTTGACTGATCTTAAGTAATTCAGTGAAAGCATCTTAGAAATGCTTGCGATTAATCGCAGGTAAAAGCAGCCCAGTGTCAACACTGAGAAGATTTCTAATTATCTGTGGCTTTTGCCACATACAAAAAGCATTTGCTCAAGCCCTGCTTCTACCATTTTGAGTTTCAATTGCATTGTTTACTAAATGTGTGACCCAGTAAAGATCACTTAACTGCTCTGTACTTCAATTTCTTTGTTAAATATATGTAATAACTGTACCTATTCAATAGGGTAAAACTTAAATAGGGCAATGAGGCAATAGAAAGTATTTAATAAATGCTGGCTTTCTCAAATCTAACTCACATGCATATTCTACTATAAGTAGTTTAGTCTATTTTATGTTACTATAACAAAAATCCCTGAGGCTGGATATTTTACTTAAAAAGAAGTTTATTTTGGCTTATGCTTTTTGAAAGGCAGAAAGCACAGTGCTGGCATTGGCCTTCTAGTGAAGGCCTCATGGATAGTATCACATGGTGGGAATGTGTGTAAGAATAATAGGTCACGTAGTATGAGGAAAGAAGCAAGAGAGAGGGGAGTGAGGAGGTTATTTTTTTTTTTAACAACTCATTTTCACAGGAGCTAACCCACTCTGTAAGACCAGCATTAATCCCTTTATGAGAGTGGTCATTATCCAGTGACATCTGTTTTTCCTACCTCCCAAAAGTCCCACTACCACTCAGCACCATTACATTGAAGACCAAGTTTCCAGCACGTGAACCTTTGAGACTACGAACCTAACTATATCTAATCTAGAGCAGCAGGCAGTGTAACATTCTAGAGGCCACCAGGCCAAGTTGGATAACTGCCAGCCGAGCAGCCACCCTCAATCAGACCGGCTGAATGCCTGACATTCTCATCACGAGTCTGACTTATTTAAGGCATTGCTTATGGACTAGTTGTTTGAATGCTGTCATTATTTCAGAGATCTAATTAGTAGATCTTTTACCTTTCCAAATCGAATTATTTTATGTTTACATCCAACACAAACAGGGACAGTAATGACTTATTCTCCCTCGGTGTGACAGAGAGAGAGCTGCAAGCCTGACCTTTCAGCTTCTTAGATGGGCCATATGCATGGTTGTTACCTGTTTTGATTAAATGGTTATTAAACTTATAATAGATCATGGTAAGGTGCAGGAGAGAGAAAACTTTTTATTCTAATTATGTAATGCAGCTTTCTTTTCTTTCTGTCCAGAATGTCCTGAAGTTCACAGAGCAGGAACACCCTGACTATTACCTACTGCTGGTGTGTGTTCAGCGCCTTCGAGTATTTATATCACACTACACCTTGTTGTTTCAATGCAATGAGGACTTGCTTATTCAGAAACGGAAAAAGCTCAAGAAGTAAGGCTCTGATGGTGGATTCTAGGGGGTGCATCAAAGGCTTCTGAGAACCAGGCTATAAAGCTGTTAGTGTGGGTGTCTGTCATGGGTGACTGCATTGTGTGTTAAGTGGCTGAAATATAGTTGGGAAGTAGAAGGGAAGAGAGAGGGGGAGGGAAGACAGGAGGGCAGGCTGACTGCAGGAAGAGACACCTAGTAGGGCTGGAAATGAGAAGAAAAGCACTTTCATTCTAATGCTTTCTCTTATGTCATATTGTTACCTCAAAGCATTGTTCTACTAAGCTTTGCCAGAATAGTTTCCTTCGTTAATCTTTTATTGAGCACCTATTGTGTATCTGGGTACTGTCTTATGCACTGAATGTAATGCAGTGAACAAAACAGCCAGACATCCCTGCCATGGAGTTTACTTTTTAGAGCTGGAGGCTGAACAAATACATGTTAGTAATGAGTAGGGATAAAAGTAAAGCAAGTGACGGATGGGAAGTTTGAGTAGATCTCACACGATGAAGAAATTTGATTAGGGAGCACCTGGGCCTCCGAACAAACAGAAGCATCTCCTAGCGGAGCTTCCTGATGATTTGGATTTCCTTCAGTCTCACTGTAACAGAATCATTTGCCAGGGCTTCAGACCACAAGAGATGCTCTCTCCCAAGCCATGATTCCTCTAATAGATGTCCTCCCATACTCCTCTGGATCCCAAGCTGCTTCCAGCCAGTTAACCAGCATCCTTGCTTCTGTCCAGCTGCAGCTTATGTCCTATGACATAAGCAACCTGGTTTGCAGAGAGCCTTTACATCTGAGCAAGGACTTTCTTTCTTGGCATAATCTGTGTATGCGGAGAGCCAGTTTCCCACCGTGCAACCTGAGCATGATTACTTCGTTCTCTTAGGTCATCCATGGCAAAGCTGTACAAAGGGCTGGCTTCCCAGTGTGCAAATGCTGGCCAAGATGCTTCCCCCACTGCAGGCCCCGAGGCTGTCCGCGACAGTGGGATCCACTCAGAAGAGATGCTGCAACCCTACCCTTCTGCTCCCAGTTCTGGCCCTGCTGTCACGTAAGCATCTGTTGCTGGGGAAAGACCAATGGCAACACCTTTGGGCGCCGTGCAGTTTGTGGGTTAGCAGGTGGGCCGTGGGGAGTAGGATCATCGAACTGCTCCTTCGCGTCTCCCCGTCAGGGCTATCCGTGATAGCCAAGCAACTGACCAGGTGCTTGGATCCCAGAGAAAGGCACTATCAGTAAGGGGCAGGCGGCTCTCTAGGCAGAAAGTGCAAATCTACCCTGGAGAGTCAACTCTTCAAGATAGTGGCAGAACATTATCATCCTCGAATTACAACGAATGAAGCCAAAAACTGCAGTGTTTAGAGATCATACCCAGACTGACTAATCACGACATGACTGCATTTACACTCTGCCCAGGGAAAACAAAACCCACCAGCAATTTTCAAGGTATAAGAGAATTGGGAGTCTGGTTGATCTTTCATCTATTTCTTTTTGTATCTGTAAACATGAGGCCTAACTTTCATTATGAGGTCATTAAGATAATCACGGTTAATATTTACCTCTGTATTCTTTACGCACTTCTGAGATAGAATTAAAATATGACTAGAAGGGGCTGGGGATTTAGCTCAGTGGCAAAGTGCCTGCCTGGCAAGCGCAAGGTCGTGAGTTCGGTTCCCGGTACCGGAGAAAAACAAAAAAAACAAAAACAAAAACAAAAAAAAAAAAATAAAATAAAATATGGCTAGACTAGCACAACAGCCACTTTGAGTCAGTGTGCAGTGGTCCACTTGAATCTCTGGTAGCTAAAGCAAGACTGACAAATCCCCATCTGATGTGCATACTACGCTGTTTTGCAAATTATGTACCGTATTTGTTGTCCACGATCCTCCCAAACCAGAAGCGTTCCAGGAAAACTGAGTACATTCAGAGGGCTAGCTCTTCCATCCCATTAACGCTTTGTGGGCAGAAGTCTGACTTATATAAAGCATGCTCCACGGCCACAAATTTTTAAATCTTATTATGAAAAATTTAGGGGCTGGGGATTTAGCTCAGCGGCACAGTGCCTGCCTGGCAAGCGCGAGGTCGTGAGTTCGATTCCCGGTACCGGAAAAACAAAACAAAACAAAAAAAAACAAAAAAAGAAAAATTTAAATTTACATAAATACGGTGAACCCCACACCGTATACCATCATCCCGATTCAACAGTTACCAAGGCGTGCCACATTTACTTCATCTAGGAATGTAATTAAAAGGCTGAGGATCCAGGAGCCGTAGAAATCGAGTTTCCATTATTTTGTATGGCTGTTGATGAGCGTCGCTGAGACGCCTTGGGACGCCGACAGGTGGTGGGGAGGCTCAGAGCTCCCTGGAGCCCGGCGCTGACCGGCCTTGGTCCGCCCCGCGTCCGCATGCAGGGCGCCCGTGCGAAACCCAGATGTCCTTTGAGGCACCCACTTTCCCGGTCATTTCCACTCCAGTTACAGAAATTCTGCGGAGCTCTCTAGTTTCTGGGCTTGGCAGGGGAACGGAAGAGGCGCTCGCGGGCGGCACTGCTTGGACCCAGCACTCACACATGGTAAGCACAGCCGCTTTGTACTCTGTTTTCCCTCTACAGACACCTGATGCCGCCGGTGAAGAAAAACCAGCCGCAGCAGAGCCTGATGGAGAGCATGCAGCCCGGGAAGCCCGGGGACTGGGAGCTGGAGGCCCGGAAGCACGAGCGGCCCGAGAGCCTGCTGGCGCCGGCGCAGTTCTGCGCGGCGGAGCAGGACGTGAAGGCGCTGCCCGGGCCGCTGCAGGCCATCCCGGAGATGGAGTTCGAGCCCTCGCCCGCCGAGCCGCTGGGCAACGTGGAGCGCTCGCTGCGCGGCCCGGCCGAGCTCCTGCCCGACGCGCGCGGCTTCCTGCCCGCGGGCTACGAGGAGTTCGAGTACGGCGGCGAGATCTTCGCGCTGCCCGCGCCCTACGACGAGGAGCCCTTCCAGGCCCCGGCCCTCTTCGAGAACTGCTCGCCCGCCTCTTCCGAGTCCAGCCTGGACATCTGCTTCCTGCGGCCCGTCAGCTTCGCCATGGAGGCCGAGCGGCCGGAGCACCCGCTGCAGCCGCTGGCCAAGAGCGCCACGTCGCCGGCCAGCAGCACCGGCGTCTACAAGCTGGAGGCGGCGGCGCAGGCGCAGGCG